TGGGGAGGGTTCCATATATCCTCCGCCGTAAACAATCAACTCTCCACGCCTCGCTCCGGTCCGCATGAAACGCTTTTATTTGGCGCTTTATGATTTGCCTTTTGTTATGTGTCGGTGAGCGACCGCTCTTTGGAGGGGGTGCACTGTGGTTGGCGGAGCTTCCACGCAGCTCAGACCGCCCCTTCACAAAGGCTGCCATTTCTGGCTACCGCAGCCGTCAGCCCCGTATGCTCCGCTGCGCCTGTGAGTCCATCCCGGCTGTCGGGGCATGAAGACCGTGACATGGCAGCCCATCCTTCGCCCTATCGCCTGGCTATCGCTTGTCTGCGCTTGTATCGCTGGCCCTATCGACGTGCGCACATGCGAAATGCAACGATGACTCGTCCAGCAGGCAGAGTCTGCTGCCTGCTCTGCCAAACTCTCAAACCTGCCTCGTCATTTACACCTCACTCTAGAAACCTGGCCTGTTTAATCATCGACGCACGCCATCCAGAAAAAGACCTGAACAAGGGATGTGACAGTGACAGCGGTTACACACCCCACGACTCAATTCAAGCCACGCCCGTCTCCGCGAGGATAAGATTCATCGCATGCCCAGATGCAGTAAGCTTAGTGTCAGAGGATCATCTCGGGGATGGCATAGGGAGACCCTAGCTGCCCTCCCCACGCTTTCATCCGGCGGCTTCTGACATCCGCAAAAGGAAACCCAAACGCCTGCCCCGGATTGCTGTCCGCTTCTCCGTGCGTCTTGTGAAATGAATTATATCGATTGTTTTTTGCGCATGCTGCCCAAACAGTCATCTGGCTGTTTGACGCCCTGATTCAGGTGTCGCAAGTGGCCACCTGTCTTGCCTCCGTCCCTGCGCCGACCACACACAAGCAGATCCTCGCCGTTTCGAAACGAAACCACTCCACAAAGCTTCCCAAATTATAAAGAAAGGAAGTATGAACCCGCGGAACATGTCCTTCCCTTCGCATCGAGGTTTACCCGGTCAAGCTCATGGGGTGCATTAGTCGCCATCACATGCATCGCGCCGATCTCAGGGTCCTCCCCACTCGAGCCCTCCGAGACAATTTCTAGCCTGCGGGTCCCCTTCACAACTTCACCACCAGTAGCGTTCCATAGCCGGCAGTTACTCTGCGACGCGCGGAGCAAAGTAGCATTGCCACCAATTAATGTAGCGAGGTACATGCCGGCCCGGCATACAATGTACACTTTCACAACCGCCATTATCGCGCCGTGAGACGCCTCGAAGGAGTCATACTTGCAGCCGCTGCGGATCCGTCTTGCCCCCGAACAAAGTCCAGTAACTTTGTGCGACCTGAAGGCACGCATTTGGATCATGATAATGCGAGGAAACTCCAACGCTTACGGCTGACCTGCAGTGTGCGGGAGGCTGAGAAGAGATCTGTAATGTCCGTCGCATGCAGTGAGCACACCCTCCCGTTCGCATCGTTACTGCAACGGTATCCCCAAATAAGCCCTTTGTGCCTATGTATTCGCAAACACCATAAAGGAAACGGAGCACAAAGGTCAGCCCTGCCGGTTACATTGTTTGCGTCTGCGTTCGGCTGGATACAGCAATATAGCACCCTGCTTCATCTCCACGTTTTCGCGACCCGTTCAGCCTGCACACTCTGCCGGTAATCTGGGGTCGGGTGAAGAAAAGCGTCTGTGCTCGCTCAGGAAACTGGGGATCGTGAGAGTCCGTCCGCCTAGTGTGGAAGGTTCTTCCATTCTTCCATGCGCCGCCGTTCAAAAGGGCTCGTGCACGACTCCTCGCGTCGAGCAACACCCATATTGCCTTTGCCGAGGTTCCATTTCACCTTCACACCACGGTCACTTTCTCGCCGTGCTGACAGTTTGGTCACTTTGGCGACTCGGTCAGAAGGTCGGCCAGCTGTCCAGACCACGTTCCCGCTACTCCTAGCCCGCCAGCTATTGCTGCACAGAATGCGGGCGGGCGACCAAGCTCGGAAGGTTGTCAATAAACTTCAACTAACCGTCCAGGAGGGTTCCCCTGTTTGCAAGTGCGCATGCAAGGCACCACCTGGCTGTTTGCAAAACCTCGAGCACGACGCAGGGTCTGCCGACCCATGAAACAGCACCTGTTCATGACGACGTTTGTCCCACAACCAAGGCCGACAAAGCAACTGTGCCGCTGACCCCATCCTCGACCCCATACCAACCCCGTATCACTTGCCTTCATCAAGTCGCGATGCCATCACCAAACTTCAGAAATGACGTCGTCGGGCAGCAGAGCCGCACTACGTCGGCCACGGCGTTATTATTTCCTGCAGTCCTGCAAACACGAATCCATCGCCAAAAGTCTCTGCTGCGATATCCACATGCCAGTACGAAGTCAACAAATTCCATCTCGGTGAAACTGCACGTGAGTGGGCCGGTGGCATCATCGTGCTTATGGTGCGGCTACAGCCTTCGACTAGAAGCCCGTCATTCCTTTACATGGAAGGTCCGATGTGGATCCGAACGATAAGACGACTCAACTGGGTAAAAATCTCAGCGCTCCGAAGTGGAGTAACAAAACAAGTAACTCCGACATGTTTTCGTGAGACTGCAAACCCACGATTCATGGGTGCTGGCGAAAACCGGCCGGGTGCTGTGGCTGTGGAGCAGGTGTTGTCGCTTCAGCTCATGCAACAATACCGTGCAGTGGCGGTGAGTGGATCCATGGTGAAGAAATCAATACGGCCGCGGTTTGAGCGGTACGAACGGTTCAAGCGAAGAAAACACAGATTCCAGGGCTTGCACTATTACTTCGCTATCGAACGCGCAAGTCCAGCAGTCCAGAGCCATCTTGCAAACACTACCAGACTCCTTGCACTTTCCTCTTTGGGAAGTGCAACCGGCAGTAGCTGTTTGGCAGGAATGAAATGTACCATGGGAATCTCGCAGCCTAGACCGCCGTTGCGATCAGCCATCGCCCTGCATCGAGCCTGCATGTCACTAGGTACTCGACAGGCAGGTAAGGTGGCTTCTATCAGAGATCATCCGTGGTTGTAGAGTACACAGTGTTTAGTCGCTTTCGGTTGGAATTCTTCCGTTTAGAGATGAGGGGAGAAATTCCGGTGGCTGATGTTGAGCGGAGAATTACCTGCAGCATGGAGAGTGGACGCGGGGACGCACATGCTAGAACGATGCGAGATCACTTGTCGGATTGTCGACACGTGGAAGGCGGAAATACTGATACGTACTCAGAAACATCTTGTTGCAGCGGGAGCTGTGGGAGTGACTTCTCGCGTTGGCGCTGCAGTAGGCCATGCGACTATATCGATCTGGCAGGCGCGACTGGATGCAACACGATAGTCATATCGTCGCACTCATACTGCGACAGGCAAATCTAATTAATCCTGGATCTCGCCATGTTTGATGCTAATTGCGACATGCGTTAGGCATTCGTTACACAAATGCAGATCCCACGATGGAGGGGTAAGCATCTGCGAAACCACTTTCTCACAAACGCACAGTCACCACCCAGCATGCCAGGCAATCCACCACTCAGCCTTACAACCCCAGCAACTTGCACACCATAAGGCTTACACAGCGTCCTTCTAGCCCACCGTAACAAAATCCAACAACACCAGATCGAGCTTGTGAACAAAGGAAACCCTCAAAGCGGTGACTCACCGCCTGGATACCGCGTCCCAACACCGCTCACCTCCATCTTGTGCTTCATGCAGTGCGACACCTGAATGCAAGTATGCCGATCCTTCGACTTCCGTAGTCGGAGTCGGTATGCATCTGTCAGATAAACAGCATACTTGCAAGAAAGCAGGGCTATGAGATGGGTGAGCCCTACAAGACGCCCTGGCCCTTTGCTCTTCTACGTCCTTCATCGGCGACGTCCTCCAGCGTGAAGCAAGTTTGTAGCCTGTTTGCCCTGGTCGACATGAAATCCGCCGAGTGGTCCATTTCTGCCTCGCAGCCCTCTCCCGCCGTGCAAGTGTGCAAGACAGCGAGAAAGGCGCTTCACCCAGCATTCCTCTCCTTCCTCACGGCACACAGTTCACATCGCGGCAGCACCCCTCCGCTCATTCGCCTACTTGATAAGGCGTGATGCCAGTTAGTCTGGATGTCGTGCATATGTCACTTGTTTTAGTTTTTGCCCCAATGGACCCCACGCGGGACCATCACATCACGAGGGCGGAGGGAAGGCGCTTGCAGTTTCCCCACGCCACACCGAGCTTGACATGTGAATTCGCCTCACGTTCGAGACTGTTCGTGCGTGCCGCGGTTAGTGGTGTTGCTTCGGCAATTGCATCGCTTCTCGTTGTTTCAGGTGAGGAGAGCGAGAATACTCCGCTTTCCGAGCAAGTTGGGGTCATTATCTCGGGGACGTGGGGTGGGACTTGGGGTTGTGGTGGTGGGGTGGAGCTGTGGGTATCAAACTCCACCGTCCACACACTTTTGCCTCTTGCTCCATCTATTTCTCCAGTATGGGGTGGAGATATAGTGGGTTTTGTCAAGACCCTGATCTCTTCCTAGCCGGTTTCTTGAGATGGGATTGTCTGTATGAAGAAGCTGGTGGGGATATGTCGTCATGGTGTGGAGACGCAAAAGGAAGGAAAGGGTCTCGGCAGTTACTGCTTCGAGTATGCCAGTTGATCTGTGGATATGGCTGTGTTTGAGTGTGTGTTGAGACGTGTGTTCAACTGGCTGTAGATATGAACGGCGGATAATCGGATATAGCTGTGATGCAGATCTACATGCACGGATGAGTAGCTCCCCGGATGATCTATGTTTCCGTTCTTATTACACTATACTACAATTACTCCCGTCTTTTGACTGAGTGCATGGATGGTATGCGCTCTTCGGAAACCACAAGATCAGAGCTCTAGCACAACGTACACTCACACGGACCACAGTCGTCCGGGCCAGCTAGCTAAGGGTTCCCACGCATGCCCCTCGATGACTGTTTGCCACCACAGATGCCATGTGCAAGCAGTATGAAACCCTACTTCGTAGAGGCCACGGTGCTTCAGGCCGGGGCCCAGTAACCATCCCAGTTGTATTTCAGTACCTCGTTACCCCAAGACGTCCATCCACTGACAAGGTACCGAGAGAAGACCTCAAGCGCGCTGTAATCAGTCGGATCCGGCAGAAAGGGTTCGAGTAACTGCTTCAGACACGGTTTGCGTGAGTGAATATCTGGCACAGCAGCAATGACTCTCCTCTTGACTGTTGGCGCGTGTGTCATTGTCGTCCACGAGTTCGGTGCTGCGCGACCTAGCAGTAGAATCTCATAGGGCTTGCGCATGGCGCTGTCAATGTCGAACATGGGATCGCCTTTGGTCGTTGTTTTGATCCATATCCACTCCTCGATCAAGCCCACGTTCCAGATTTCAAAGAGTCCGCCGGGTCCAAGCACATGTTCCCTCAGTGCTGCCTTGTTCGTGATCCAGACGCCGACCAGCGCATTGTGTTCCAGATAGCTGTCAATATCCATGCTCAACAGCATCTTCTTGAGGTACGGCATGCCGCCAACTTGTTCATACGCGCCCTTCCGCTTGGCTGAACGATTGGGCCATGGTGGGTCCAGCAGTACCAGGTCGAAGTGTCGTGGAAGGGTGAACTCGTCTGTAAGCTCGCGGAATGAGGTACGGAAAGCATCCGATGCTGTGGAATCGCTAAGGAAGAATGTGGATCGAGGTGGTATTGTGAAACGATACTCATGACCCAGCTGAGCAGGTTGCGACGTGTTCTCGGTGATGGATAGCGACAGGGAGTGGTGGTTGGGGTTGTGGAAGGCGCCTGTCCATGGTTCGGTTTGTGCGTCTGGCGAGACCGTTTCAGCAACCTGTGTACTACTTGCAGTCTCACGTGCAGGGCAGTACGACATCATCCACTTTGGTGCCACAGTGGCCGGTTCTGCGACCTCGGAAGTCGCGCCGAGAGAAGCCATCATCTGCTGCAGATTGAATGCGGTATCGTCTTCCTTGCTCTCGCTCCATGAAGCCCACTCCTTCATCCGAGATTCGAGTTCCTTTTCGGAAATTTGATCAACGTCCATGTCTTCATCTTTCCCGCGGAGTGGTTCCTGGGCCATCAGCTTGCGCTGTGTGCACCACGGCCCTGGAACCTGTGCGCGTATTTGGCTGAGTGCATGTTCAGCCAGAATTTTGTACCGCAGGTCGTCAAGATGCAGAGACTGGAAGTCGTGTTGGGAGGCTTCTGCCACTGTCGCATGGGGCGAACTACGGTGTCCGACATGCTGCGTGTTCACCGCGCTTCGTGCTGAATTCTCGTTCGCTCTAGGTTTCTTCGCTTTGGGTCGGTAATCCTCCTTCGGTTCGATGGGCGCTTCCAAAGGCGTTGTAGAGAGTAGCACTCCCTCGCGGTCGCCTTGTGCTGCTGCGATTGACGTCGGTATGTCGATCAATATGACGTCCACCTCCGCATTCTGATAGATAATTGGATTTGACGAAGCCATGATGAGAGATGATTGAAGAGAGAGAGAAGAGTAATGGAAAGTTCCTACCAATTCTATAGTCTTACGTCATCGCTGCTCCCCGTTTGCAATCTCAACGACAACACGCCAAATAATCATCGCGTGGTCTCATAAACACATTTCGCGTAGAATGTCTGATGTGAGATCTCGTGATGTTGTCGTGGTGTTGGATGGAAACCATTTCCGAAGGGTAGCGTCGGATGAATGGTGTGGGCGAAGTACCGGCCGAAAGCAGCAGATCAGCCTCGGTAAACGTCATCGCGGCATCTCAAACACCAAACCACACAACGGCGTTGCTTTCTAATCCACACACACGCGACCACGCCCCGCCCCCGGAACACGCGTCCTGTCATAGCCACGCGAAACGACGACACGGAAGGAAGCGCAAACACACGATATTCATGTCGCGGTAACCCCACGCACGTCTGTTCTGGAATGTCCACGGATCTCCTCCGCTATGACGGAAGCAAATCGAATATCATGACCACGACTGCGGCGCAAACAAACAGCGCAGGCACTACAATACCCGACCATGACGCCGCCATGTCGGTAAAGAAGGAGGGAGGCGCAAATATGGAGCCGAAGAGGCAGAAGATGGATAGGAACAGCATGGAATACCTGATCAAGAGTGGACTGGCGGGAGGATTCGCAGGATGTGCGGTATGTCAAGAATCCTTTTTAAGCGGAGAGACTGGTCGGATCTGATACTAACAGTGTATAGGCGAAAACAGTAGTAGGCCCTCTCGACCGCGTCAAGATCCTGTTCCAAACCCGCAACCCCCAATTCGCCAAATACGCCGGCTCCTGGAGCGGCTTCCCAACCGCCATCCGCGACATCTACGTCAGCACCGGCGTACGCGGGCTCTTCAAGGGCCACTCGGCAACCCTCCTCCGCATCTTCCCCTACGCGGGCATCAAATTCCTCGCCTACGAGCAAATACGCGGCCGCATAATAAAGAACCAGGCGCAGGAAACACCCACGCGACGATTTCTCTCGGGAAGTCTAGCAGGCATGATGAGCGTCTTCCTCACATATCCACTAGAAGTCATTCGGGTGCGCCTTGCCTTCGAAACCAGCGAGCAAGGCCGTAGCAGTCTCGCAACTATCGTGCGCAAGATCTACGCCGAGCAAGCACCACGTGTATCGCAACCGAAGAACCCCATCACCGCAACCGCAACACACGTCGTCGAAAAGGTCACTCCGCGCTCTGGCCTCTCCAACTTCTTCCGCGGCTTCACACCCACACTACTCGGCATGATACCCTACGCAGGCGCTTCCTTCCTTGCTCACGACTCCATGTCTGATCTCTTGCGCATACCTGTCCTCGCTCCGTATACCACGTTACCGAACACCTCGCGCGAGGAATCGAGCACCACAAGTCACAAACCCGCGCAACTGCGGTACTGGGCTGAGCTGACGAGCGGCGGTATCGCGGGCTTCTTTTCACAAACTGTGTCGTATCCTTTGGAAGTAATACGGCGACGCATGCAAGTTGGTGGTGTGGTAGGCGATGGACACAGGCTTAGTATACCGGAGGTTACGAGGAGGATATACATGGAGAGAGGTTACAAAGGGTTCTTTGTAGGATTAACGATTGGCTATGTCAAGGTCGTTCCCATGGCGGCTGTCAGCTTCTATGCATATGAGCGGGGGAAGTACTATCTGGGTATATAAGAGTAGGATCTTTCATAGGCACAAAAGAAGAGAGAAGAGATTGTTGCAGGAGCAAAGAAGCGACCCCTTAGCGGCGATCGCGTGCGCTTGGTGAAGGGTGAAGACCTGTGACACAGCACAGTCATAGCAATGTCTTATCAAAACTATTAGCATTCACCACGTCTATTACAGTAGTAGCGCGAGAGTGTCAATAACAGAGATGCAGGAACTCGTCAGCGCAGTCCATGTAAGCCGGCAAAAAGGATGGGCAAAAAGAAGGTCAAAAACATACAACAGCCTGGATTCGCTTCTGGTCACCCACGAAGCTACTAATAGGCCGGTATCTTGCTTAAGTACCGCTGAGCGAACGGGAAGCGCTGGTGACAAGATCCTATGGTCGTATGTGCAAGTTTGTTAAAGTTTGGACATTATAGCCTTGGTTGGAATCAAGCAGTGCATGATTATGCACTATCCCGCATAGTTTATGGCAACACTGCACTAGAACAGCAGCAAGTCACTGTGTACAATAAGCAAGTGTCGAAGATAGTATATACTAGCACATATAGTAGGTTGTACAATACGCAGATTCTTATTCTAAACTACACGCATTCACATCATAGCTGGGCCATAACCTGCTGGTGACCACCTGCATCATCCCATGAGGGCGGAACCCCGAGCACAGCCATGACCCTCGCAGTATTGCAAAATGGCTTCTGCGCACTCTCCCCACATCTCTGCTTGTACTCCTCAGCGAGCGCACTGAGGCTCGTATCCTGGAGTCTCTCAATCCGTTCAGCGGTGGTGCGGAACGGTTGAGGCAGTGGAGGGAATGAAGCGGCAATGAGGGGCTGGCTGTATTCGAAACCAAGCGAATCCAGAACAAGAGGCGTGATGTGAGCAGCTGAACCCAACACACGAGGCATACCGTGTCCCGCGAATCCGGCGGCAATAAAGTGACCCGGCCGCTGTGGCACCGTACCAACAAACGGAAACGCGTCTGCAGATTCGGTTTGCACTATTCAGTCAGCCGAATGTACTTCAAGTTCACTGATATGACATATCTTACTTCCAGTCCAGCAGCCGCCTTCGTTGACTTCCTTGCTGAGCCCCGCGGGGACTTCATCCGGCGAGCCTGCGACGTCTGAGGCACCCCAAGATTCGTAGAATGCAGCTGCTCCGGCAATCTGCTGATCCTCTTTATCGTTGGGAAAGCAATCTCCTGGCTTGTGGACAAGAAGTTGCCTTGCTCCTCCAATGATGATGGTGTTGTAGGGTGGAGGGAGCTGGAGATGATAATTCTGTCGTCGTCAGCGGGCCATCAATGGTGAAGGGAGCATATGTAAGCCTTACGTTGACCATTGAGTCCCAATGCTGGGCACCAGTATGCTTTATGAATCCCGGAGGCGCTTTGATAGCGGCAATAGCCCCTCTGTCGGGCAGTATAAGCTTAGTGAACTCAGGGAGAAGATGAGAAGCCCATCTGTTTGTCGTGTGGACGACTGTTTTGGCACGGATGGTTCCGCGCTCAGTCTTGACTGTGATCCAGCCCTCGGCGTCTCGCGCTGAAACATCCGTGACTGGAGTATGAGCTTGCAGATTGAGATTGCCTTTCTGTAGAACGATGCGCAAAAGCGCGTGCACCAACTTGTATGGCCATCTGAGACGATATTAGTAGGTTTGTGTGGGAGTAGTACAATCGAGAAGAACCGACATTTGCCCTGCAGGATGCACCACTGCAGCCAGAGCACCCTTCATCTGCGTAAACTCCTCTGCGGCGTGTGCGTCCTCGATCACTCTGCATACTTTGACGATCTCATGATCGTCGCCATGATCCCTCCGCATGGCGTCAAGTGCGCCCTTGAGCCTCGTCCAGGCTTCATCGGTCATGGCAGCATCGAACGTTTCTCCGAACTTGAGACAGACCTCTTCCGCGATGTCTTCTTCCTCGGTCAGATTCTTAAATGCCGGCAAATGAGCCATCTCATGCTCGATAAGCTCCATGGCACCCTGGGGGCCAAATCGTTTTGACCATTTCGCATAGCGGGAATAAGCATGCGGCCTCAATTGTCCTCCTGTTCGTTGTTAGGTATTTCTCTCCAAGGGGCAAGATGCAAGTGCCATTACCATTGCGTCCGGTGGCACCTCCGCAGATATCACGAGCTTCTAGGAGAGTTACATGAGGCTGCCTGGAAGCATTTTCTGTGTACTAATCACTCGTCAGACTTGATGAGCGGAAAACTCATTGTGGTGCTGTCACGAACTTTGTTGATCCAGTAGGCTGTTGATGCGCCGGCATAACCACCGCCGATTATTGCCACATCGGTCTCCTCTGGCAACGCCTCGCTGGAGCGGAAGTTGCGCAACGGCGATTTCGCAGCCTCGATCCAATAGGATTTGGTGGGGTTGGCAGTTGGTAAAACCATGTTGAGGAATTGAGAATGACTGACTACTTTCTACAGGCGGACAGAGAGCATGTTTCGCATGGCAAGCCACATAGTACACGCTTTCATACCTGTGCTCCATCACCGCTATTTCGCAAATCGACCGGGTACCGTAATTAGCCCGGCCATCGAGCTTACAACTTCGATCTAGAAAGTTCGAGCTCGAGAGACAATGACACCGGTCCGGAATCTGCTGAAACGTTGCTCATCGTTATCGTACCTAGGTACCTGTGTGTCAGTGGCAGCCCTGGAGAACCGGGTAAGCGAACCGGTCGCGATCCGGTCGCGATCGATAACTACCTGGTCCGAGCGCTGCGGCAGTCACCTCGACCGGGCCGGCCTTCTACTAGCCACTGATACCGGTACTCAGTGTAGCAAGACATGAGAATAATGGGCATCATGTAGGGGCCTGTTCTCCACGTGTCTTTTACTCTTTATGCCAAGCCGACATATCTAGCATCAATCGCTGTCGAGCTCCTCGATTTTGGCCATCACACACCACACCGACAGTCAAAATGACACAGCCTCTCAAGCACGTCGTGTTCGACGTCGTCGGCACCTGCGTATCGTTCGACGCCTACTACGAACGCATAGACTCAGTCTTGGGTGCAAAACTTCGCGAGCACCACATAACCGCGCAACACTTCGGGTACACCTGGCAGACAGCTGCTGAGCTGGAATTCACATTCTTGTCCATCTCCGAAAGCTACAAGCCTTACAAGGATATTCTCCGAGGAGTATTCTACCGTACCCTTTGCCTTTGTGGCGTCTCCGATCCTCGGGCTGTAGCCACTGAAGAGGAGCGGGAACAGTGCATCGAAGGCTATTCCGCTTTACAGCTGCGACCTGGCTGTCAGGAAACGTTCCAGTTGCTGCGCGACAACGGCTTTACCGTCTGGTGCTTCACCACCGGGGATGTGCAACGAGTCAGAGGCTATTTCGAGCGCGCCGGTGTAGACATGCCGCTGGAGAATTTCGTCAGTTGCGACAACTTAGGCGTGGCTAAACCCGCTCTCCGCGCCTATGAGTCTGTATGGAATCGATTTGGAGGAAACGATGTGAAATGGTTCGCTGCCGCGCACATGTGGGATGTCGCAGCGGCCACCAAAGTCGGTTTTCGCGGAGCATGGAGCTCGGTGTACGAGAAGGAAGCTTGTCTCGACGTTTTTAGTGATGTGAAATTAGAGGTGGTGGCTGGAGGTCTCATGGAGATGGCGCAGCAGATTGTAGAGAAGTCTCAATGACATTAGTACTACTACTGCGTCTATTTCAGTCCGTAATGACATTAGTAAAGAACGTTCATTTCCGCATGCTCTTTCCCCGCTTCCAGTATTTTGCCCGAGGTTCGCCATTATCTTTTGTGAGGATGCGGGTATCGCCGTCTGTGATAAGCCGGGCTTACTACTAACCGATAACGGACAAGCTTTGTGCGGAGCGTTCCTGCAGGAGGCTGGACGGCTTCAACGTCGCTGCATTGCGCGTCATTCAGCTGTCTTATCGCTCGCGCTTCGGTAGGTGGGCGTCGTTGACAGCTGTGAACTCACGACGTATGCTCAAAACCTTCCGCCAACTCAGTCCCTTCAGCTCATACCTAGTCTTGTTTGTTCACTTCGAGCTATGGACGTCGAGCCTCCAAGACCCACCAAGAAGCGTCATCTAGCGGCAGAAGAGCGACAACGAGCAGTTCGCGCGTAAGACCCACCACTGTCTCGCCGAAGACTGCGAGGTGAAGTCTTGGCTGACAAGCATCGCATAGGTGTGATGAGTGTCGCCGTCTCAAAGAGAAATGTGAGGATGGCACACCATGTAGACGCTGTCGACATCTGCGCCGACCGTGTAGATACAATGTTGCACCGGCTGCAGTGGACAAGCGAGGACCGGGCCTTTCCGCCTCGCCCAATGAGCTGATGGACCGCATGCGATGCATGGAATTCATAATCAAACACCATTTCCCCAATCTCGCCCTGGATATCGTGTCTTTACAACGCACGTGCGATTCTCTGTCTTCGCCCACTCCACCACGCGACCAGAACGCGATCGTACCCGAGTCTATCGAGCTGTCGGCGAATACCCAAGTGTCTGACAGCCCTGATATTGGAGACGAGGATTGTACCATTGACCGCGTAGATGGCACGACAGTCCGTATGTGCTTCGTAAACCCCCTCGTGATTGCTCAGGCACACTGACGAGAGCTTTTGTCGCTGTGCAGATTACTCAGGCGAGTTCTCTCATTGGAACTTTTCCATGCACATCAAACGCAATATAGACGATCTTATGGCCAAAGCCAATGTACAGGTACGTACTGCTAGCCTAGTCTATTCCTGTTTACTCACCATCTCTATCAGAATTCAGAGAACGTAACGCGGGTACCAGATTTCATTCGCGTCGGCGAGGCAGATCCAGCCTCGACTTCCATTTCGGACGTACTTGCTGTTGTGCCACCCCGTCCGGTTGCCACATTCTTGACTAAGGTCTTCTTCAATCATGCCACAAGCGTCTACTACTATGTAGACCGACGCTGGTTTGACGACATCCTAAACAACATATACACCAACCCAGTCTCACTACGTTCCAAAGATGTTACTGCAATATGTGTAGTACTGATGGTGCTGGCAGTCGGAACCCAATACGTCCATTTAGAATCGCCCGATCGCCACAAGGCTCACAACACGGGTGTTGCAACGGACTCCGAAGTTCAGAGTAGTTGGGAGCTCGAGATTGGATCCGGCTTTTACCGTCAAGTAGCAAAGCTTCTCTCGGAAGTCATCCACGCTGGCTCGCTGCTCAGCGTCCAGGCACTTTTGCTTCTCGGCCTATATTCCCTACCCATTGATGCATCTGGGCTGAGTTACATCTATTTAAACTTGGCTATCAAGGTAGCCATACAAAACGGAATGCACCGAAAGGTCTCGCGCAACGTCCTCGATACGAGAACCAAAGAAATCAGGCGTCGCATTTGGTGGACAGCGTACTGCATGGAAAGGTTTGTTGGTTCTTGACTCTCCGATACCACCTTGTCCTCCTACTCACAGGTCTGACCTACTAGAAAAATTGGTATATACCACGGCCGCCCGATATCCATAGTACGATCCGATATCGATGCAGATCTACCTCAGAGATCTAAAGCACACCTCATTGATGACGACCATTTCGATACTCAAGGTCTCCTGGAATCAATCGAGCTCACAAGGCAAGCTGAAGCCTTCCACCACGAAATGTAAGTCCAGACCAAGACTTTGTTAATACACAGAAATAGAACACAATTAACTAACTATGTCTGGCCAGATCGTGTCTCCGCACATGTGCGAACGCTGAAGTCGGAGTGATTCTGGACCGTATCAAGCACATGAAGGCGGATCTGCGAGGGCCCTGGTCGCCTCCTCGCGGGGGTGTATTATCGCCACCCGCGAACCACGAAGCAGAACTACCAAAAGCTCGCGCATTGATCCACTCTCGACTGGAGTGCTGCCTCTTGCACATGTTTATCGGACGACCCTTTATCCTCGCGCACCGTCACGCGCGGACCAATGCACATTCCAAGGACGCCAATGCCGCATCCCCAGAAGTACGCCAGAGGAAAGCATCCGAGTCCCACTCACAGTGGGACTTCTTGGTCCAGGACTGCGTTGCGGCCGCGAAGGAAGTTATCAGCACATGTCAAATCATGCAGACGGGCGACATGGGCCTTGCAAAGTCGTCATATGCCGAATACAGTTCCTGCCGCGCGTCCCTGCTGGTCTTGATCGCCTATAGCATATGTTACCGGACGAACGAGTTCGCAAACACCCTACAAGTAGGTCTTCAGGCGATCAGAGAGATGGCTTCGGCGGGCGATTCCGCGCGTTCAGAAGTGTCGCTCCTAGAGACACTGGAAGCGGCGCTGCATCGACTTCACGTTTTCAATCCATTACCCAGTCAACCTGCGGTCACGGAAGCAAATGATGCAGCTGAAGAGGGCTACAACGGTCTTCTTAACTGGTATAAGAAAGCAGAAAAGTCCACAGTCCCTCGTTTTGGGCCTCCAGCATCCGGACATGCAAATGTACAGGCAGCAACGGCGCAGGGCCCAAGGATAACACCTAACAGAACCGATGCAACAGTGGATACCATGCCAAGCTATGTACCCCTTGATGGCTATCCGTTCGATTTCGATCTACTTAACTCGGATGGAAGCGAGGCGTTCTTCACCTCAGACTTTGGTGACCATGGTAACGCAGAGAGGGAGTTCTTTGAGAGCCTTTCATGGTTACCGAAGTGACGTTCTGCACAGGCTAGAATCGCCAATGTATGAGCGATGAAGCGCATCAATTCAACTCTTTTCGCCAACAGAGTGCGCGTAAAAGTCAGTGGATGATTCATCGCATTGCAAGAGTGGACAATTCAGGTCCCAACTCGTCTTATCTCATGGTCACAACCGTGCTTGAGCAGGCTGGCTTTCCGCTATCTGTTGCCACATCTTGAGAGACACATGTTCTTTCTGCTGGTACCACCTACTCCTGGTGATGCGGTACGGCACAGGGAGATCCACATTCTCTGCGTCACCCGTGATGACCATGGAAGCGATGGCTTTTGCACAGAAAAATATCTGCGGCATACCGTGCCCGCTGAATCCTGCGCACATATACTGGCCGGGTTTCCCGCAAACTGGCCCAACATAAGGGAACCCGTCGTTGGAATAGCCCATAACTAATATGGAAGAAGATGAGTCAGTTCCGAAACATTCAATCGTGGGCGCTGGTGCAGACATGACACTTACTACCGGTCCAAAGCTCTTCTGTGTGTGCACCGCTGTTCTCCCACCCGCGGAAATGCCGTTGCATGTAACCGTCAAAGTAATGCCGCGCGCCATTCATCAGTCTGCTGTCGTCGGATACATCGAACCATTCGCCCAAGTCTTTGTAGTAGTCGCGCCTTCCGCCCCCGACGATGATGCTACCGTCCGGTCGAGGAATCATGTAGTCGTACTCATAGTCAGAAAACCGCATCATATAGCTATCAGTCATCCTTGGTGAATTCTCGCCCGCCAAGCGCGCTACTATGCCTCTCACTGGGACGACTTTGTCCTTCATCTCCGGTACGAGAGCAGACGTGTAGCCATTCGTAGCGTAAACGACGGTGCTGGTCTTGACGGAGCCGCGCGGTGTATTCACGACCCAAGGATGATCTTTTGTGCACCCATCGGCTGCCGAGACGGATGTCACTGAGGTGTGTGTTTGCAAGTTGACACCCATAGATACCGCTTTCTCTAGCAAGTGCGCAACGAGTCGGTAGGGCCACAGACGAGCGGCGCTATATGTATGACAAGACTTTGCACCCCATACGCCGGAAACCTATGGGCTTGGTCAGATCTCTCCAAAGAAACATTTCAACGAATCAGATCAGATGTTTATCTCCAAACGCTACATACCTCTTCTGCTTCGCTGCCTGAAGTAAAATCTATCCCTTTCGCAGTGGAGATACCCGCTTTAGTGATTTTCGCAATGTCAGCTTGGATTTTATCGCGACCGGCTTCATAAAAGCAGACATCGGTGACCCTTGTCTCTTCGAAGTCGCAGTCACAATTTTCACGCTGAACAAGTTCTTTGATTGCATCGATCTGGCGGGCCTCGAATGTAGCCACGTGCTCGGCGACCGCTTTCCCATGCGTCTCCAGTACACTGGCCGCTCTTGACAAAGGGTCTGGTTTTAAATGACCGCCTAGATTTTCAGATTTAGTACGTGCGACATTGAAATGGAATATCAAGGGCATATGGTATGTACCGTTACGTCCGGTAGCGCCAGAGCAGGCCTCACGTGCCTCAAGGATAAGTATTGATGGTATTGGGCGGTCGCGACGCACACACTCTTCGACTATGTGATGCACGATTGATGCTCCAGCATACCCCGCGCCAACGATGACAACATCAACCTGCGTAGGAAGCTGTTCAGTGCTGCGATGGTTGTCGATGGGCCCAACTTGTTTTCTCCAATAGGAGAGGACAGCATCCGCCACCGGGAAAGGCTTGACGCTGGGACCAGGAAAAGACATGTTGGAGATGTAGTGTGTAAGCCGTATGCATGTATTGGTGGTAGTTCTACGGAATTGTCCTAAGTGCAAGGAGGGCTATGTAGGTACTCACGCTTAGTCATTCACAGGGCAGGTTCGCTTCTACTGTACCCAACCCGGGAACTTGCGTACTTCCATTAGACGGATAGGATATGTATGCCCAGAACGTGGGTCATTGGCTTCAGGTGGCTGCGCAAGGCGGTGATCATTAGGCAGGCGCGACCGGGCCGGTCACCGGGCCGGTCACCGATAAGGACCCAGTTGACTTTGCCGCCCAGCAAGCAAACATCCGTTCGGAGCAGCACAATCTCGTTTAGAAGCTTTCTTTCAGTGTGGTAGCATTGGCAATGTTGGAAAAGCCCTCCGGTCTTATCTTTCGCCAACAGCGCTGCATCAGATGTGGGATGATCGAGCAATTCTGCCGGACGTATGCATCGGCAATGGCGGCTCGCGTGCTGGAGAAGGAGTGATGCGAACAGGTATTGGAGAACAGTTCGATTAGCAGAATACAACTTCAGTGTGAGAGCACAACCTTTATCATAATATATGTTTTGAACGACTTGATAATTGCTATCCACAGCGGGGCCCTGAAGAAAGACGCTTCCCAAATTCCAGCTCGTGCCACACGCGTCTGCCATCCTTCTGTTGAAAGCCATTGCGCACAACATAAACCTCACTCAGTGGTGACGTTACTCAACGGCCTCCTGGGCATCCTAGTGATCAACATGATCATACTAGGCACAGTAAGAACCAGCAAGCCACAGTTCACATAGATCGGGACCACAGGAGCGATGCCACTCGCAGAGCTGAGACCATAGGAAACTGCCTGGCCCGCCGTCTCAAACGCGCGAAACAAGCCTGCCACCCGTGAAGAATCACCCATGTCGTTGGAGAATGTGCCGAGAATCCAGTATAGTGTCAATTGCGTCCAGTAGCCGCTCACGAAGATGATAAGGTATGGCACGTATGCCCTTGCCCATCTGCCAGTTTCTCTGTCGTTGAAGTCAGTCTAGGTCGCACTGGGGCCTGCCTCGGTAGGATAACTCACGATCCATAATCCAGCGCCGTTTTATTGCCGAGGTAGTGGTACTCGAAAGCGACCCAGATGAAACAACCGGTTTGTGGCAAAATCCACAGCGAAAATGCAACCCATGCTTTGGGCCGCTGGGGCCACCGCTGGCTGTCCAGAAGTTTGCCGAATATGACAACCGACGGAATGGTGATGGCGGCTGTACTGGTCAGCATGAAGTCGGCGGTTCCCACCATCCATACTTACGGAGAAGAAAAGATGATAGAGCGCGTGCGCGGACCGAGAAGTGTAGCGAGAGATAGGTACCCATCGTCCCTCCGTAGAAGAACGAATAGAACGCGGGCAGAAAGATCAACCAGACCTTGTTGCTTTGTAGAGTACTCCACAGAGCAACAAATTCTTGCTTCCAAGTGACCCTCCCCGACATGGGAACCTTGCTGCCATCGCGACGACGCACTCGGGGTGTGGGGGACAGTGACAGCGCCCAAAGAACTCCAGTGCATTCTGCTATTGGTCAGTAAATGTGCATTCAGAGCAGATGCCTAGTATCCGTCACGTACCGAATCCAACAAAGACCAGATATGTCGCCCATGCAATGCCTCCAGCAGAGGCTCTGTCTGAGTTCGTGGAAAAGTTTATCGCACCACCGATCAAGCTTCCGGAGCTTCGCATAGCCGACCAGATGCCTGTCAGAGATTAGTGAAATGATCATACTCCACGTCGCACACAGGTGCTTACCAAGGTATAACCCCCTCTCTTCTGGCCTTGGGTAGCATAACATGGCTGTCGTTTCGCCGACGTAAAGAAGCCCACCCGCTAGACCGTTGATAACCTGGCCCCATCAGTATGTTTCTTTTGTATGGATGAGTTATGATCGTACATTGGCTGCTATGAGGTACCAGTCGACGCCGAATCTAGCGTTTACATAGTACGCAGATCCTTGGAGGGGCATCGTGAGAGCCGCAATGAAGCACGCCCATTTGATCCCGATCCTATTGATGATGGGGCCTCCGAGGATAGTACTGATGAAGCTCATGGCGTAACTCAACGAGGTTGCAAGATTCGCTAGCCATGGCGTTGACAAACCGCCTCCTCCTAGATTGGATATAGCATCACCCATGGCTGGGCCGACCAAGGAGAGCCTTAATCATGTTCAGCATCCGGATGGTAGTCTCTGGGAGGATTACTCACGCTCCGAACATCACCATCTGGAATAGCACGCTCCGGTAGAAAGTCGACCATTTCCAAGATCGCAGAAAGTCGTAATCGGTAACTTCTTCCTGCGATCCGATCGCGATGTCCTCACCACCGTCATGCTCCGTGTCCTTCACTTTGGCGTCTTTGGTGTCTTTAGTCTGCGAGTAATCCATCACAAAACCTTTACTGAATCCCGTTCATGATACGCTTCTATTTTATGTAGAACTCTTGCATGCTAGAGACTATCGGCCGGCAAGCTGATTAGGAAACGGTGCCCCTTGTTTGCTCCAGATAAGCATTGCACCGGCCCGGTCTGTAGCGCGACTGATTAGACATGGTGTTGTACGGGCGACAGAGTAAGTGCTTATCAAACATGGATGAGCATGGGGTAGTAGCCGTGCCCGGCCATCGCGCTCTTCTCAAGTTGCTCCGGGCCTTTGCATCCCAATCGCCATTAGCACATGGATGCTAGACACGAGACCGAACGTTACAACGATGCTTGTGAGCTCTAAGAATGCTAACCAATGTCTTCAGGAACATAGTTGGAAGGCAGCTGCGCGCAATAGAAAGCGTTGCTGGGAGTGACGAGAAGCGCCGGTCTTGGAGTTGCGGGGTGTGGGGCTACCTCCACTCTTCTAAACGCGTGCACCAATCAAGCCACGAGTATTACTGTACAACCCTTTCTTCCGATGGGCGGGAAGGGGAGGCATACAAGTTCCTAGCCGACTACCGCGAACATGCGCATATCTGGGCGACATGTCTCAGGAGTACAAACGGCCGTTGACAGTCAATTGCGGTTGTAGTGGTGGGGTGCCAAAGTGACAAAGTTGCGTTTCTAGAAAAAGTAGATCAACCTTAGCACGCTAACCTAAGAAAAAAGTGAACAGCCTAGAGCCTACGTTAACGTTAGGTTACCTACTTTGTAAGGTTTCGGCTTAATGTAGCCTATAGACCTGTTTAGTTTTTTTCTTGTATAAGGTGTTAGAACGGGCGCATACTGTGGGTCGTAAAATGCGCGGATGTGGCGTACTCCTTTCAGGATGTGGGTTGCTTGTAGGCTCGTTGCTTGAGTGATATTGCGCTCATCGTGGTCGTTGGCATGGGGTCGAACATGACGATGCAGGATGTCCTTGCATCTACCAGGCTTGCAGGTATCTAGGCCTCATTTGCTCCCAAGGGTTGCTGTTCAGATGCATGCGGTGGTCAGTCGGAGTCAAGTCTGCGTAGTGTCATCATTGGTGGCGAGCTCTAACTATGCCGACATTGATTGAGACCGAGTCTATTCTATACAGATGTAACTGAAGAAGTCAGGCTTCTGACACTGATCGGCCCACAATCGGTATCGATTGTGGTCGTCTGCAAACTGACGCTAATCTTGAATGCATGCTTGGGTTTGACATAAACATGCCCGCTGTTCAGATACGGGAGCTTGGGTAAAAGTTTCACCAAGTCTTCCCAGAAAATACCCTCCTTACCAGCTTTGTCTGCGAACAAGAATCTCGTCTCGCGAAGATAATCTTTCGCGAGGAATACTATCGGAGCTTTATCTTTATGAGCTGGACAGATAACCACTATTTCAGCCGTATACCCCGCTATCGTGACGCTGAACTGAGCAGCAAGTACCAACTGGCTTACATTCTGGTCCCAGGCCTTTGGAACCAGAAACGTCCTGTCGAGATGATCCCAAGCATGCAGCGGGGCCACCGACCGCATTCGCAAATGTTCCTGGACGGGAATATGCAGGCCATCGTGACGGAAGGACACCAGGCGGGTAATTGAGTGTTTGAGGAAGGCATCCGTGGAGAGGTAGACTGAATTCATGAGCTCCTGCGCGGAGTATGTGATGATTTTATTCGGCAGCCTGGCCAAAGGCAACCCGCCAATGCGGCAAAACAGCCCGGGACCGCATTTCCGGAGAAATATTCCTATACTGCTGTCGTCTTTCTTCGATTCCCCGA